AAGCAGCCTCTCGCACAAATGTGTCCGGTCGTACTTCGCGAATAAAAGGTCCGTACATCACGCCCCAAAAGCCAGGAGCGAATTTTACCGCGCAGATGCGCGCGTGCGATTCTCAAAATGCGCCTGTACAAGTGTATATAAATTTTCTTGGCGGAAAAGGACCAGGTGCGCCAGCGCGTTGCGCAGGTGGGCATGTTGGCCATAGCCGCACGCGGCATGCAGGCTGGACTATTGCGTGGATGCTTTGCAGTAACTAAAAGCACCGAAAGCCAACGTCGTAGCTTGCAACTCTGGGCTCGTGAAACTGCCGCGGAAGATGAAGCGCTGGCGAAGAGGCAGTTGTATGCAGCACCTTGTTCAGAGTAAAGTCAAATTACAAAGTTGCGCAAAGTATAACATACATAAACTTAATTAAACATAAGAACAGATAAGACGTTTAGAGCCTTGTCGGTGACATGGACGCCGCTGTTGGCTTGGAACAGCTATTTGCTGTGAATAGGGACGTGCCCGCGTTAGCCGTGTTGCAACAGTTCAGGATGGATTTCAGCCAGCAACAGCCTCAAGAGCTGCTGCACAACCACCGGGAATGTCTTCAGTTGGGCACGTGTAGTTTTGGTCGGCGGGGTCGAGCAACGTACGCAATGCGCACAGAAACCAAGGTGCAGCGTTCTGTAACATCGCCAACATATCCGGTACACGGTGGCAGGCTTGCCGAGCACGAAATGAAGGGGGGGTCGCATCTCACCATTCAACTAAGCATGCATGTGCTCGGTTGAATGCTCGGTAGCGTGCGAGTTTACCCCTATCAGGATGTTTGTTTGCATATCCCTCCAAGCGAGAGGGCTTGGACCTATGCTGATGTTCGTTCCAAGAAGTGAACTGAGGACTGATGCTACGGTGAAAGATTTGCACGTAAATTCGCCCGTGCAATAAAACGCCCTGTAACTCGCTTACGCTAATCTCACATTCCAATATGCCACTGCACTTTCCTCTCCAGCCTGGCCACATTCTCTTCCTCGCAAACGTACTTGGGCACCTTACAATCCAACACCATACGTGCTTTGGAAACGCGGGCAGCTGCTTCACAAGGACCCCCCTATTTGGACTTAATGTTAGTGTACGGCCTAGTGGAAACACCCTGTTTGGCTGCACGCATACCTTGGGTTGCTTGTCGTGCGATCTAGGGTCCGGGATTTTTGCCGTGCGAACTGAAGTCCCGATGCCTAAGCATAACCGACAAAGCAAACTTGAGCTTACTTATAAAGCTTGATGAATGCTGAAAGGCACCGTTTACGGTGATGCCATAATTATCTGGGCAGTTTTCGCTGCCCCACTGTTTTCAACCTTTATTTGATCAAATTCAAATTAGCACCACAATCACAGCGATTTTTCCATGTAAATAGCTTTCGGCTTCATCAGAATTCACATGCTTCGTTGACGTCCCTTCAATCCACCGGTTTTGGGCCAAAGTTAACTGCTTTTCTCGTTTACAGTGACTTCCTGCGCTCCACAAATCCTCCTGACAAGTTTATCACAGCACAGCCGTCTGGGCGTTGTGAAATTATGCGGCGCCCGGCAGTCTGCGGCTTCCTCTCCCGTACGCAAGCAAGCGTACATATTGCCAGCCTGTTGTTAAAGGACATATAATTTTTTCACATTCTCATAGATTAGGGGACATGCTTAGGGCGAGTTATGGGACAGGGCTTTCCGATTCGATGTACCAAAACCCACGCAACTGGCTGTTTGGGACTTCAGGCTGCGCGCATGGCTAGGGTCAACATCCTTAAGGTTTTGACTGGCATACCTAACGAATCAAGCTCGTCGGTGCAAAGCTGCGACATTTGATGCTTGGGCTGTCATCGGGCGGGCTTCGTGTTGGGCATTAGCAGCCAAAGTCAATCAAGCGCAAGTTTGTCAGTTTCAGACTGATGGCCTAAGGGAAGT